GTTAAAATTAGTATAATCAGTTTACTAGGAGTTATTTTATTGTATTTATTGTTGTTCCCTCCCTTTTCCTAATTAACATAATTTTCTTTTTTGTGTTGATGTTAATTACTTGTCGTATGACCGACTACTTATGACTTAATTTGGCTCATGTTATGGTATTACTATTTTGGTAACAGATTCAACTAGGAATGACAAAAAAATTATGAAGTACAACATGTATTTGTTGAAGTTATTGTACAAATAAAATCTCTTTTACTCTATCTTCAAATTCTAACTCTTTTGATTCTTAGAAACAATTGTATTAATTTATTAAATCAATGATTATTTCGATATCAATTGATTGTATGTTGATCATATCCATTTGAATTGTGAATATATATTGTTTCTCTTGTTATTGATTGAGGTACATTAATATATTGTTATTGAGAAATTTATTCACATGGGATTACATTATATGATTTATTAATTAATTAATTTATTTTTTTATTGAAAGTTTATATTAGAGTAAGTCATGATCCAATATAAGACTAGAATTAGCTACTAGTTCTTTGAAGATTTCCAATAAAATTACGTATTTTCTATTACATTAAAAAAATGAATTTGATTTCAATTCCTAATTAATAAGAGTTAAATATAATTTATTAATTTCATTAGTTTAAGCTTTGAATTTGGATACATTATACATTATTACTTCAAAGATAATTAATTATCATAATGGTCCAACGTTCGAAGAGGGAGAAACTAGTTTTCTAATAATTCTTTAAAATGATTTTTAAAATTTAATTTGCTTAATTCATCTCACTCCTATACATGTATTACCAATTTCAACCTACAATATATGTAATATTTGTTAAAGTTTAAGCAATTGTTATTTAAATGATGCCTATGCATTTAAGTCATTGATCGATAGATTTTCAAACACGTATTATAATTTTGTACTTGATTTTATTGGGTATTTATTATGTTTAATATTAATACTTTAATTGAGATTTTAGATTTTAGATTTTATTGGACTTTAACAAAAATCTTACTATTATTTTTTTAATTTTTAATACATTTTAACTCTCCTACTTGTTTAGGTTATAACTTATAACTTGGATTCTATTGACGTGATTAAGATGATCTTGATTTATTTAGAAGAAACAACGTGAACCATAAATGAAATTGGGCTTAAAGCTGAATTTAATGTTTGTCCGAGCAACTTGACAAATGTGCAGTGTTTTGCACACATCTTGAGTTGTAGAGAACAAAATGACATGAAATCATCGTCAAAATTTTAATGACAAATTTATTTATAACTCTCATGAACACATCTAAACTCAAATCAACCATTTAAAAATTGAATGATTCATTTGTGGATGAAGACAAACATATTTTGACTAGTAACTTAACTAGCTGTTATAGGATTAATATTGAAATATAATTTTATTAATGTTAATTAGTGCAGTTACAAATATTTTTTTCCTCAAAATAACTGCAATTTATAATACTTTTATGCGTAGATTAAAATTGATAATAAATATATAACAATTTTTTTTTAGTTTTACTAAAATAGTTTAATATTAGATATGTTTTTAATCTTTTAAATTTAGATTAAATTTATCCCTCAAATTTAAAATTGTTACTTTTAGTTCTCATAATTTTCAAAAATTTTAGTTTAATTCCTCATGTCACTAATAATATATCTGAAAGTCACATATTGAGATAATTATACATTAATTATCAATTAAATTTAATTTAATATGATATTTTCATTATCATGGACATTAATAGATAAATTTCATGTGACAATATTTAATAAATTTTGTGACGTAGTGAGTAGATTCCAGAGTTTAGTTGACTCTAGGGAGAAGAGTATATAAGGGTTTCTCTAAGAAGGGAACTTCATAAGTTCGTTCTCAAAGAAACCTAAAGAGAAGTTTTAGAGAGAATGACTCTAGGACCGTGAGCTCCTTTCTCTCCCAAATTTCTCTGTTTGATTTCTCTTCTCATCTAGATTACTAATCTCTTCTGTCTTTTCTTGAAATTCAGGTTAGGAAGCTTGCTTTTGGTGGATTGAAGTTCCCGGGTTGAGCTTCGGAAGGAAATTCTATTGCTTCTTAGTTCTTGGCTATTCTAAGCCAATTTGTCAGGTGAGGGAAGCTAAAATGTATGTTGTTTTGTTGCATGTGAGTTTAGGAACTCAATTGATGCATGAATTTGGAGAATCCATGGTTGGATTGAAGAAATTCTCATTTTTCGGGGTTTTGGGGGGAAAATGGGGTTTTTGGTGATTTTGATGCATCAGATTGGTGCATGTTGAATCTAAGTTTGTTTTTGAGTTGTATGGATCCTATGCATTGTGTTTCTGTGTTTGCATGTGGTTGGATTTGTTGATTTTCAAGTGTTGGAGGAAATTTTTGAAGTTTGGAGGCTGTTGTTTAAATTTGCGCTAGGCACAATTCTTGGCGCTAGACATGCATTCATCAGAGGCAACCATTTCAAACTCACTCCAGGCGCGAGGCTAGTCATGCCGGGCGTGAATTGAAATGGAGGTCTCTGGATGAGTTCGCGTCGGGCGTGAGAGGAACCACGTCGGGCGCGATATCAGATAGTGGCTAGGTGAGGGTTTTTACTGAGATGGCGCTGGGCGTGGAGACTTTGGATGGTCTCTGTTTGGAGCACGTCGGGTGCAGGGTGGGTGTGTCAGGCGTGGAGACTCTTATAAGTCTTTGTTTCAGGGACGCTAGGCGCGAGCTGAGCGTGCCGGGCGTGAATGAGTTTTAGGACTCTCGGGTTGGGATTAGGCCGGGCGTGCTCAAGCTGCGCTGGGCGTGAACATGTTTATTTATGATTGATTTGAAATGATGTTTGTGCATGTTTATGGTGGAAGAATTGATCATGTATGTATGATATATGATGTATAGTGGTGTATGATTCATATGTGTGCTTGGTAATGATATGTATGAATGTTTAAATATGATATGACATGTTTGTATGTTCATATGAGAATGATATTGATCATGATGGTGGATAGACCATGTATGATGTATGATGCACGATGCATTAATTGCATGTGATGCCTTATGGCATGTGTCTAGCCTAGGACTTGAGGAGAGGGAAATATTTTTGAACTGGAAGAGCTCACATAAAGTCTCTTGAGAGTGGTGCTTGGATAGGCCACTGATATAATTGAGAGTGGTGCTTAGATATGCCACTGGTTTTGGGTGAGAGTGGTGCTCAGGTAGGCCACTAGTTTGGGTGAGTCTCCTCTAAGTCCTTCGCTAGTGTTGAAGCGAAGTATGAGGTCGAGGGTTATTCCCTTAACCAAGTACTAGGGAAGGAGTGTGGTTCCTTGTGGATAGTCGGTAGGCGAATTCTACAAGTGACTTGGTAATGCATGTCAAGGTCATGGTAAGCCTGTACCCAGCTGTGCTATACTAGACGGTGGAGCCAGACTTCCAATTGTGTAAGTGACATCATCCGAGTAAACTCGAGTGAGGATTTATATCCGAGTAAACCGGACTCTGCGTTTAATGATGAAGGTCATTTAATACAAAAGTGCTAGACTGAATTTTCAAATGCATGAACTGAATATTCATACGCGAGGGGGGTTTCCTAGTCGCTTTATCAGACGAAGATTCTCAAACACAATAATTTCTTACTGCACTCTGAGGAGTATTCCAATGTGGTGGTTTACTACATTGGTTGTCCTATTGTGTTTCAGATGAAATTGGATGGTATATATATATATATATATAT